GCATGAAAACATCATCCTTCTCCCTATACATTTCCATCACAGCTCTTGGGTGACTAGGTAAACTGTCACTGTGCAGTGATTTTTTTTTTTTTTTTTAAGTATAAGATGATTGTTTACTTAGTCCCTTAACCTGTGGTAATTATTTGCTAACAGATAATGTGACCAACGAATATATTATGAGTCTGTAGGTGGTTCCTAAGGCTCACAGTTTTACTTTCATTAATAGACACTACCCTTTTTTTCTGCTTTTTTTTTTTTCTTTCTTATTATACTTTAAGTTCTGAGATACATGTAGAGAACGTGCAGGTTTGTTACATAGGTATACACATGCCATGGTGGTTTGCTGCACCCATCAACTCGTCATCTACATTAGGTGTTTCTCCTAATGCTCCCCTATTCTCCCCCCTCCTGCCCTACAGGCCCTGGTGTGTGATGTTTGCCTCCCTGTCTCCATGTGTTCTCCCTCCCACTTAGGAGTGAACATTCGGTGTTTTCTGTTCCTGTGTTAGTTTGCTGAGAATGATGGTTTCCAGCTTCACCCATGTCCCTGCAAAGGACATGAACTTACCCATTTTTATGGCAAGCAGTGATATTTTTAAGCAAATCTTTTTTTTCCTGAGCAATAGGTCTCAAGAGTGGGCTTAAAATACCTATTAAACCACGCTGTAAACAGGTATGCCGTCATTCAGGCTTTGTTGTTCCGTTTATATATAGAACACAAGCAGAGTGGATTTAGCATAACACTTAAGGATCCTAGGATTTTTCAGAATGGTCAGTGAACGTTGGCTTTAACTTAGTCACCAGCTAGGTTTGTCCCTAACAAGAGTCAGCTTGTTCTTTGAAGCTTTGAAGGTGGGCATTTACTTCTGCTCTCCAACTCTGAAAGTCCTAGATGGCATATTCTTACAATATGCACTTATCTGGCATTACCTTCCAAAAGAAGGCTGTTTTGTTTACATCGATAATCTGTTGTTTAGCCGTGTTCATCAATGATCTTAGCTAGATCTTTTGGATAACTCGCCGCCTCCCCTAGCATTTTTATGTTGTGGAGACAGCTTTCCTTAGACCTCATAAACCTCTGCTAGCTTCTAACTTTTCTTTTGCAGCTTCCTCATCTCTCTGAGCCTTCATAGAATTGGTGAGAGTTAGGGCATTGCTCTGCATTAGGCTTTGGCTTAAGGGAATGTTGTAGCTTGTTTGATCTTCTATCCAGACCTTTCAGACTTTCTCCATATCAGCAATAAGGCTGTTTTGCTTTCTTTTTTTTGCTGTTGTTTTTTGGTTTTGTTTTGCTTTTTTACATCCATGTGTTCACCGGAGTAGCACTTTTAATTTCCTTCAAGGAGTGTTCTTTGCATTCATAACTTGGCTAACAGCATAAGAGGCTTTTCTCAGCTTTCTGCTTGCCTTCCTCACTAAGCTTAATCATTTTTAGCTTTTGATTTAAAGTGAGAGATGTGCAATTCTTCCATTCACTTGAACACACAGAGGCCATTGTAGGGTATTTAACTGGCCTAATTTCAATATCGTTGTCTCTCAGGGAATTAGCGAGGCCCAAGGAGAGGGAGAAAGGTGGGAACAGCCTCGATGGGGCAGTCAAAACACATAAAATATTTATCAATTAAGTTCACCGTCTTATGTGGGAATGATTTGCGGTGTCCCAAAACAGAGTAGTAGCATCAAAGATCATTGATCACAGATCACCATAACAGATTTAATCAATGAAAAACTTTGAGATGTGAAAACTCACGAAGTGAGCACATGTTGAAAAAATGGTGCCCATAGACTTGCTCAACACGGGGTGCCACACACTGTCAATTTGTAAAAACTGCAATATCCGCAGAGCACAGTAAAGTGAAGCACAATAAAATGAGGTGTACCTGTACCTCTTTCTCCCCTCCGATCTTTATGCTGTTATTGTGATATATATTACTTCTGCGCGCTATAAACCTCACACTACATTTGTTAGTACTTTTCTTCAGTTATCTCCTAAAGACATTTAAATAATAAGAAAAATAATCTTATATACTTATTTAGCATTACTGTTTCTGCTCTTCATTTCTTTGTTTAGATCCATATTTCTGGCTGAGCGTGGTGGCTCACACCTGAAATCCCAGCACTTTCGAAGGCTGAGGCAGGCAGATCACTTGAGGTCAAGAGTTCAAGAACAGCCTGGTGTGGTCAGCATGTTTCACCCAGCATGGTGAAACCCCACCTCTACTAAAAATACAAAAATGAAAAAAATCAGCCAGGCGTGGTGGTATGTGTCTGTAATCCCAGACTGAGGTAGGAGAATTGCTTGTACCCAGGAGGTGGAGGTTGTAGGGACGCGAGATCACTCCACTGCACTCCAGCCTGAGCGACAGAGCGAAGATCCATCCCCAGAAAAACCAAAAACATATTTCTGTCTTGTGTCATTCTCCCTTCTGCCACAAGGACTTCTTTTTAACATTGCTTGTGGCACAGGTCTGCTGGTGATAAATTCTTTCAGGTTTTGTATATCTGGAAATTCTCTTACAGTAATATGCTGAGGCATTTGTAGGGCTTACTAAATTTATTCCTTTTTTTTTTCTTTGAGACAAAATCTCACTTTGTCACCCAGGCTAGAGTGCAGTGGCACAATCTTGGCTCACTGTCTCCCAGGTTCAAGCGATTCTCCTGCTTCAGCCTCCTGAGTAGGTGGGATTACATATGTGCACTGCCACGCCCAGCTAAAGTTTTTGTGTGTTTGGTAGAGACGGGTTTTCACCGTGTTGGCCAGGCTGGTCTCAAACTCCTGACCTCAAGTGCTCTGCCCATCTCAGCCTCCCAAAGTGCTGGGATTACAGGCATGAGCCACCGTGCCTGGCCAGTTTCTTCCTGTTTCTTAGGGATCATACTTTATTGTCTGATATCCACACAATCTTTTGAAAACCATTGTTTTCATGTATTTTGTCTTTTTTGTTGTTTCAGGCAGGAGGGTAAATATGGCCTGTGGCCCTTATTGTGTCATCTTGGAAAGTGAAACACTAGCCAAGAATTAGAGAAAGGGCGTAAAGTGGTTGGGGCAAGATTTTTTCAGAATTGATACGTAATGGGCATGTGTTAAGGCAGAAAAGGGAGAAGAGTGTATTTTAATCCAGAAACTGGGATTTGTTAGATAACACAAAAGTACCTCTGTACAAAGCAGTCTATAAACAAGCAGTTAATTAGCAAGTTAATGCCTTTTGAAGCTTCTGAGTGGGACATATTAAATCTGAAACGGGCCATGTATGTTGGCTCATGCCTGTAATCCTAGCACTTTGGGAGGCTGAGTCGGGAGGATCTCTTGAGCTCAGGAGTTCAAGACCAGCCTGGGAAACATAGTGAGGCCTTGTCTCTATTAAAAATGAAAATAAAAAATTAGCCAGATGGGAGTGGCTCTTGCCTGTAGTCCCAGCTACTCCAGAGGCTGAGGCAGGAGGATTGCTTGAGCCTGGGAGGTCAAGGCCGTGGTGAGCTATGATTGCACCACCTCACTCCAGCCTGGGCAACGGAGCAAAACTCTGCCTCAAAAAAATGAAAAACGAAACAAAACCTTGAAGAAGTGCTGATAGTCTCTGGGGACCTTCCTTTAAATCTCAGTGCAGTCCTCATTGTCGGGTGGCTTTTGAGTCTGCTAGCCTGGCCTTGAATGGTGTGGCAAAAACAGTAGTTCATTGGCGTTGAGTAACAGGAACAGATGTGAAATGGCTTCTAGAAAGACTAGCCAGAGGGAGTCCCCGGTTGGAGTTGAAGAAAAAGGTTTTGGAAAAGTTGCAGAGCACCTTCCCCTGAACTCTCTCAGTTGGGATGAGATGGAGTCTCATTCTGTCACCCATTTGGGAGTATACAGTGCTGCAATCTTGTCTCACTGCAACCTCCGCCTCCTGGGTTCAAGCAGTTCTCTCACTCAGCCTCCTGAGTGGCTGGGATTACAGGCACCCAGCCAGGCACGGTGGCTCACGCCTGTAATCCCAGCACTTTGGGAGGCCGAGGCTGGTGGATCACGAGGTCAGGAGTTCGAGACCAGCCTGGCCAAGAAGGTGAAACCCTGTCTCTACTAAAAATACAAAAATTAGCCAAGCATGGTGGTGGACACCTGTAATCCCAGCTACTCGGGAGGCTGAGGCAGAGAATTGCTTGAACCCAGGAGGCAGAGGTTGCAGCGAGCCAAGATCGTACCACTGCATCCCAGCCTAGGAGACAGAGGGAAACCCTTTCCAAAAAAAAAAAAAAAAAAATCTCATATTGGAACAGTTGTTTTGATCTGGCAGCTTTGGGCAGACAACATCCCATGTCTGTTTGCCTGCACAAGGTGTGAGTGAAGAAAGAAAGCAGGGATAGGGTCTGCTTGGGCTGCCATGGTAGCAAAATAGCTCAAGCAACAAAAGTTTATTTTCTCTCAGTGGAGACTGGAAAGCCCCAGATCAAGGTTCTGGCAAGATGTGGCTTCTGGTGAGAGGTCTCTTCCTGGCTTGCAGATGGCCACCTTATCACTGTGTTTCCACATGTCTTGTCCTTGGTGCATGCAGTGCGGGGAGAGAAATTAATATCTATCTTTTCTTAGGAGGCCACCAGTCCTATCTGATTAGCACCTCACCCTTATGAACTCATTTAATATTAATTACCTTCTAAAAGCCCTATCTCCAGATAAGCCACATGGGGTTTGGGCTTCATCTAAGTTTGGAGAGGTGACACAAACGTGCAGTCCACAGCAGAGGAGATGAGATGCAGCAGCTGCAAAGGTGCCTGATGGCTATGACAGTTCTTTGGTTAGCCTCTCAGTTCTGGTTGCATTATGGCCATACCCTCCACAGGCCTTAGCCCTGGTGGCATACCTTCTGCACACCTCCAAACCTACAGCTTTCAGAATTAGATTTGGGTTCCAATAGTTTGTTGAAATGATTAGAATCAGCCTGAACGTACTGTCCTGGGGTGCTGTTGAGATTCTGTGGGGAAAGGAACAGGTCTCCTGAAGACTTTGTGTTGCTCATCTGCAGGTTCTTCTTTGCGGTCCAGTTGGTCCAAAGCTACATGAGCTTCTTGATGACAATGTCTTTGTTCCACCAGAGTCATTGCAGGAAGTGGATGAATTCCACCTCATTTTAGAATATCAATCAGGTAAGGAAATGAGTAAGTAATGGTGGCAAGACCAGTCAGGGGACTGTGTATTGTCAGATTGGGGTGTGACCATGCCAGAAGTTTATCTTTGTAAATTGGTAGGATCCTGCTTTTGCCATACTGAAGGTTTCCCGACCTATTGGTTCTACTGAAGTGACACTGGTCATTCTCTCAAGGGAGACTGACAGAGTATTACAACATGGAAGAAAATTCCCAGGTCTGCAAACAGAATTGCTGTGAACCAAGAGAAATCGGGCTGTAGGAAAGCAAGCATCTCACATAAAAATGAAAATGTGTTAAACACACATATATAAAGTTTTCTTTTATTACTAAGAAGAGAAAGAAAGGCAGGTAGCATCCGTTCAACTGTGTGCTGGATTCTGCCCTAGGCCTTTCTGACTGGCTGTTCCAAGCTGCTTGGGGTTAATTCCAAGCTTCTGGCAAGTTTCTCTGCAGCATTTTATTTCTCCTTGGGGGTGTGAGTGGAAGTGTTTTGTATTTAGCAGTACTATGTTTCCCATCAGATGTTCTAATGTTGCTAAATCCACATCCACTGCATCTGATGCCCGCTTTCCGGCAGACTGTACGTGTTACATGGATTAGGCATCTGGTTTCTGAGAGAATCTAAATACTTGGACATACTTTGATTCTGTGTATATGCTGCTATATTTTTCCCTCTGCTCAGAACTCACTCTTGAGTTTCTGATTCAACACATTATTAATTCACTTTAAAGACTCAAGCATCTAAACAGACTAATTGATACCTTAAAGCAGCACTTAATACTCTTCAGTGAACTACTTTCAAGTCAATTAAGACAATCTTCTCCACTAGAGTGAGTAACGTAAGGCATGAACTATGTTGTTTCTTAAGCATTATGCCTTTCTCCAGGTAGAAAAGAACATGTTCTGACTCCCTTTCAGGTGCTTACTAGAATCAGTTGGGAATTAAAGAAAGGTAGGGTCTGAAAATTAGGGACACACTGTTGATGTAGGCAATTCATACTTAATGCTACACAAGTTTTGGATTTCTCAGCTTTAGTTTCCCTAATGGGAAGTAAGTGTGATTGTTTTTAAAGAATTAATCCTTTGTTGTGGTAAGGATTAAGAGGTTGATTGGTGTGCAGAAACTTTGTGAACAGCTTGGATGAAAAGAATGACCTGCCTGTGGACTGGAAGGGTCTGGAATAGCTGAGGATGAGCTCTGAGGAGCTGCTGCCGTGAGGTCCAGATTCATCTCACTTCTTTTGGCACCCACAGCATGAACTGGGGACCTTTGATTCCTGGTTTCTGTCATTTTCCCTGGGGACAACAGAGTGGAGAGTCATGTCTTCATCAAGACTTTGGCGTTGTATTGGACACCTGTGCCTTGTGTGTAGTTAAGGAGACCGCACAGTTCACCTCACAAAGAGTGTCTCCATCCTTGGGTTTATAAGCTCCACACTTCAGTTTTTCTTTCCCATGCCTTATTTTTCTGGGTACAAAGCAGTGGACTTTGGTTAAACTTTATGTGAGGTGACATTTTCCTAGGCCCCAGGAGGGATCCTAGTCTGGTGGCAGCAGTCCTGGGCCCAACTCTCAACAGAAATCCATCCCCAGCTTCTCTGTAACCTCATTGGGGAAATTCCAAAAGGATTGGTCCACTTTTTTTAATCACATTCTCTCTTACCAGGCCTCCCCAGAGAAGCCCATTTTCAGGCTTGGGCTGGGAATCCAGTGAGTCTCTACACAGAGGTTTTGCTGACTTACTGGCTAAGGGCAGAATGATACATTGAGAAAAGAGATTGCTTGCAGAAATGAATACAACACCTCGTGAGGAAAGAGGGGCGCTAACTACCATTCCAGGCAGAATTCCACCCATTTGCTTCTCCGGCCACCCCTCCGCCCTGTGTCCTTTGGAAACAGCAAGCAGCTCTGCACGGTCCTTCTTGTCCTTACCTTGTGGAAGCCTGTTTGTGTTTGCCCCTGTCACTTCCTGAAGAAATCAGTTTATTTTGAATACTGTGTGGCTGTTTGCTCCTGGGTTAAGTTAGGTCGTGTTTCCTAGCGGTGTCACTGTTGAAGGGTTGAGTCCTTGTCTTCCTCTCTGGAGAATATCAGTGTAATGTATTTTTCCCCATTGTACAGAGTCTTTCTTGACTTGCAGAATGTTGGATTTGGAGTTCATACCCGTATTTTTTGTCATGGGCATTTAGGTCATCAGTCTGTTCTCCTATTGTTCTTTTGTTAATTCATTCCCATGGCTGTATGCCTGGCGCAGCATGACACCGAAGGAATGTGATAGAAGGTGACACAGGCCCTGTCCTCAGCTGACAGTTTACTGCCGGAAATTGACACCTGAAAAAGTAATTGCAGGCCAGGCGCAGTGGCTCACGCCTGTAATTCCGGCAGTTTGGGAGGCCGAGGCAGGCAGATCACCTGAGGTCAGGAGTTTGACACCAGCCTGGCCAATACTGTGAAAGCCCATCTCTACTAAAAATACAAAAAATAGCCAGGCCTGGTGGTGGGCACCTGTAATCCCAGCTGCTTGCGCCATTGCACTCCAGCCTGGGCAACAGCGAAACTCCATCTCAAAAAAAAAAAAGTAATTGCAAAGTTATGTACTCAGTCCTGTATTAGGGTACAGTGGTGGCCCCAGAAAGGAGGTAATCAAGTCTGCTCAGGGGTGGTAGAATTAGGGAAGGCTTCACATTTAGGGAAGAGCTAGCACTTGAACTTGGTCTTAACCAGTCATTCCTCCAAAGCAACTCACAGAGAAGCAACTGGAGCAGCCAGATAATCTGAGCCTTTAGATCAGGTGCCCAGAAACCACTGGTGGGCAGGAGGGAAGAGGAGATGCAGTGAGTTTGGCTGTTGGGAAGGAATTCAGCCTGCTTAAGTTCCAACTAAATGAAAGATGCTCAGGGCACTGCTGTGAGGAAGAATGTGCTTACAGTGACAGCCTGCGCTATCCGCGGGGCGTGCGTGCTGCGCGCTGTGTGCCGGTGTTTGGAAGTCATGCTGCCGCTCTGTACTGTCTCTCCTGTGTTTGAGAGCTCAGTGGACGGTAGGGCTCTCCTGGAACTCGGGGAGAGAACTACCTTAAAAAAGGCATATAGCACCCATACTTTCTGTTTCTTGGTTGAGTTTGGATTTAGGTATTTGGTTTGTTTCTTCCAGTGCCATGCTGACCTTAGACCATTGTTGTCAGGTCTCCTCAGCCAGAAACCAGCCTGCTTGGAGCCAAGGCTCCTGTGAGGTGCCTGAAAGTGCCCCCACAGCTAGGAGACCTAAAGCCTCTTCCTTTTCTTCCCATTGTGTTGACTGGGTTTTTCCAGGGGAGGAGTGGGGCCAGTTAAAAGCTCCCCATGCCAACCGATTCATCTTCTCTCACGACCTCTCCAACGGGGCCATGAATATGCTGGAGGTGTTTGTGTCTAGCCTGGAGGAGTTTCAGCCAGACCTGGTGGTTCTCTCTGGATTGCACATGATGGAGGGACAAAGCAAGGAGCTCCAGAGGAAGAGACTCTTGGAGGTAATGGCACCGTTACAGAATTTCACAGATCTCAGCTGGTGGTTTTCTTCAGGTTCCAGCCTCTCTTGGCGTCTGCTGCCTTGCCTTAGGTCCTGGCCTCCCAGGAACATATCTTGGCAGCTGGCTGTGGAGCTTCCCTCCTGCTGCAGTGAGGCACCTCACTGTCCCTTCAGACGTGGGCAGCAGCTTGAGTAGGACAGGTCAGAACATCTTCATGCCTGAGCCTCTGCATCCTATGCTAAACCGACCATGGCTGCAAGCTGCAGGGTTTGTAGTTCGTGTCCTTTGTGTTATATCTGTATCATCTCACTTCACATCAGCTATGCTGTGACTCCCACAGATTCGTACAGCAGTCGAAGTGAACAGCTCTGTTAGGTCCCAGGAACAGACTGGCCACACGAATATACAGGGACATTTCTTTGTCATCTCTGAATCTGTATCCCTGATGGCTCTGCACAGCCTAGGCTTCCCTGGTGGGAAAAGTGTCCCTTGTCCACAGGTGGTGGGGGACCCACATTGCTTGCAGCTCTCGTGAGCATGCAAAGAAGGCCATTACTAAGGAACTGCCTCAGGATCTGATCTTTTCTTGCCTTTCCTGACTTCCTTCTATTTCTAATGGTAGTGCTTCTCTTCTTCTCTTTGCAGGTTGTAACCTCCATTTCTGATATCCCCACTGGTATTCCAGTTCACCTAGAGCTGGCCAGTATGACCAATAGGGAGCTCATGAGCAGCATTGTGCATCAGGTAACCACATGGGACCATCGTTCGGCCCCAGTCCTCTCAGAGCCTTGCAGAGAAGCTTGTTTGTGCACTGGGACCATGTGTTTGGGCTCAGGGACTGGCTCACTGACATGTAGGTTTGTGTCACTCAGACCCAAGTCCATGGAAATCCCAATAAGAATTTAGGACTGTTCTGAAACAGTGTCTCCTACCAGGTTAGAATGACGGCAGTGTAACTGACAGATCTGTCGATCGTATATCTGGAATGGGAAGGTTGAAAGTGAACGGAGAAAACTGAAAGCCCAGCTCAGCTGCTTTCAGTTGAATTTCAGGGAACTCAAAGAAAAGAAACTTTGGGGAATCCTTACTCCTTTCTCAGGCCTCTGGGTGTTCGCCACCTGCTTCTGGGCAGCAGCAGCGATTCGGATAAATCCGAGCAGGTGAGGCTTCAGAACACAAGCTCTGGAGGCCTGGGTTGGCATGCCAGCCTTGCACTCACGGGCTTCATGAACACCTGGCAATCTACTGTTAGTTAACCTTAATTGGTAATATATTCATTTGGTTAAAAAAAACACACACACAGAAACTATGAAAAGATATGCAATGAAGCCTCCTTCCTACTTCCTCCCCTTCCCTGCTCGTACCCTTCATCTGTTTCTTTCCAGAGTTCTTTTGTACAAGTGTAATAAAGTACAGAAATATATTCTGATTTTTTTCATCCCCTTTCACCCAAAAAGCTAGCATGGCCTACTGAATATACTATTCTGTACTTGTTCTTTTTTTCACTAAATATATCTTAGAGATCTTCCTGCATCACTGACATGGAGAGTATCCTTTCACGGCCACGTGGTTAAAATGAATGTGTGGCTGTACGTCTGTTTACTTAGCCTGGACCTTCTTGATGGACATACTGCTTTTCACTGCCCTTTGCTGTTCAATACAGTGCTGCAGTGAACAACTTTGTAAATGATTTTATTTTGCCTGGGAGCAATCCATATGTATGAGAAATTCTCAGACGTAGAACAGCTGGATTGGAGCCTAAGAAAGCATTTGTAATTTTGAGATTGCCAGATTGCCCTCCATGAGAATGATAGCAGTTTACTTCCCACTGGCAATAATTACAAATGCTTGTTCCCTCATATCCTTGCTACCAGAACGTTATTTAAAATTTGCATTTATATCTGACAGGTGAAAAAATGGCATTTCAGTATACAGTCATCCATTGTCATCGGGGCGGGGGGAGGGCGGTGGTGTTCCAGAACCCCGGCCAGATGCCAAAATCTGCAGATGTTTAAGTCCTGCAGTTGGCCTGCCCTATCTGCAGGTGCCACATCCTTGAATACTGTTTTCCATCTGAGGTTGGTTGAACCCACGTATATGGAGGACCAACTGTAGTTTGCGGTTTTTTTTTAGACTTTTTTTTTTTTTACAGTAATATTAGGTCCACAGGAAGATAGAGCAGAATGCAAAGAGTTCCCATATGTTCCCAGTCCGCCAACACATAGCCTCTCCCACTACCAGCAGCCTCCACCAGAGTGGTGCATTTGTTATAGCTAGTGAGCCTACACGGGCACGTCGTCAGCACCCGAAGCCCATTAGTTTACGTTGGGCTCACTCTTGGTGTTTTTCAGTATAGCTTTTGTTTGCGTTTTTCTGCTCACCTTTAAAAAACATGAGCCATTTCTGTTTCATTTTCTCTGTAACTATCTACTTAACCCTTCTGAGCCTTAGTCTGTACAATGGAGGCAGTCCCTCCTTCCTAGGTCACAGTTAGAATTGGATGAAATAAAGCCTAAGGCTCAGTGCCTAAGAAGAACATGCAGGAAATGAAAGCTGCTACTGCACCAGCAAAGTGTAGGGCATTAAATGTTTAAAACCGGGTTATAGATGTGCACATATGTACAGGGACTCCTCCTGCATGTGCGGTTCTCTGGTTCTAAGGAGGGAAGCGCTAAGAAAGACAGACAGGGGGGTAGATATGGTGGTTCCCCATCAGGTAGAAAACAGGGGCTCCTGTGTGGTCATCTTTTCCATGCAGCGTTATTGCTCAATTCTTCCTAACCCACAGCTGCGTAAAAACCTTAGCTCTAACATGAAACGGTATTCTTTTTTGTTTCTTGATGTTTTATACAAAAAAATCATCGCAACCCTGACCAGCATGTTGCTCGAGGTCTCCATTTTACTGGTACTGCTGCCGACATTCAGGAACTAAGAGCCATGCCCCATCAGGGGCAAGAGTATCTCCTGTGCGTGCACAGGCAAAAGCTAGGGATCACGGAAAGAAACACAAAATGTGGACATCTCTGCCTGTTACCTTAGAGTGGCATATCACAGGAGAGTGGGTCTGAAACAGTGTTACTGCAACGTTCCAGTTTCTCCCAAATGATAATGAAGGTGGAGACAGAGTTGTGATAGCTAAAACAGTGACTTCAGGGCCAGGGAGCCCTGTGGCAAGGAAGAAAGCTACCTGCCTGTGTTCTCTGTCATTTATTCACTGGCTATGTCGTAAGACATCTTAGGAGCCAGGTTATCTCCATCAGAAAGAGACCTGTCTTTGTTTTTGTTAGCAGGTCTTTCCTGCAGTGACCTCCCTCGGGCTGAATGAACAGGAGCTGTTATTTCTCACCCAGTCAGCATCTGGACCCCACTCCTCCCTCTCTTCCTGGAACGGTGTCCCTGATGTGGGCATTGTCAGCGACATCCTCTTCTGGATCTTGAAAGAACATGGGAAGAGTAAAAGCAGAGCCTCGGACCTCACCAGGATCCATTTCCACACGCTGGTCTACCACATCCTGGCAACCGTGGATGGACACTGGGCCAACCAGCTGGCAGCTGTGGCTGCAGGAGCTCGCGTGGCTGGGACACAGGCCTGCGCCACGGAAACCATAGACACCAGCCGAGTATCTCTGAGGGCACCCCGAGAGTTCATGACTTCCCATTCGGAGGCAGGCTCCAGGATTGTCTTAAACCCAAACAAGCCAGTAGTAGAATGGTACAGAGAGGGAATATCCTTCTACTTCACACCAGTATTGGTGTGTAAAGACCCCATTCGAACTGTAGGCCTTGGAGATGCAATTTCAGCTGAAGGACTCTTCTATTCGGAAGTACACTCTCACTATTAGGAAGATTGTTAAGGTAATTTTTCTGAGGAAGGATAACTTAGCCAACTTAAAAATTACAGGGAGAAAGTTGCGTGGAAAATAGGATCGGAGGTGTCAGAACTGTTTGTAAATCTAGCTGGAAGACAGCCAAAGAAATAAAAGCAGATTAAACTGTATCAGATACATTCCAGCCTGTTGGCGACTCCATAAAAACATTTCAGGTTTTAATCAGAATTTAGCTATGAGACTGGATTTTTGTTTTTTTATGTTGTGTGCCACAAGGCTAAAAACTCAGTTCCTAAATCCCCAGTTTGTGCAGCGCCATCAAGTGTTGTAAGCCAAACTTCTTCACCCTTGAGAGCATATCAGCTGGAGAAAAGCACTCCCCCCTTGCCCACTTGAGAAGTGCACGCCCACTCACCCAGCACCCTGGTCTCTAGGAAAGCTTCGTGTGAGGTTCCTCTGTCTCTCAGCTCAGTGCTCATGGGCAAGGATCGTGATTTCCATTCAGCGTTACAATGACAATATTTAATGAGCATACCTGATTCTCAGTTTTCTGCTCTCAAAATTTAGGACAGAGCCACTAAGGACAAAACAGTCCTTCCTGTGCTTTGTGATGGCAGCAGGGGCTGGGGAGCCTCTGAGGGACTCTTCATTCTGCAGTTGTCTGGAAGCCTGAGTGGCGTCGTGAGATGAAGGATTGTACTTTCCTGTCCTGGCTCTGTAGTCGGTAGGCTGGCTGGTAAAAGGCTCACGAGGCCTGGGCTGAACCTCGTTGCCTAGCTTTGGATGTGCTTCCTGCAATAAAGACTGATTTTTGTTGATTCTGAACCTTCAAGGAATTTGCTTTTTACAACTGGAATATGCTCCTGTGTGTGTATAACAGATCATGTATGTTTTATGTTTTCATTGATCATTAAAGAGTTTGACCTAATAAGAGCTCCAGGATCATTAACAAACTTGTCATGTTATATATTTATTTTTTTATAAATCAAGACGTCTCTGTGCTTTTAAATATATTAAAACAATTGACATTTCAGGAATCCTGTCTGTAACTGGTTTTTTGTCTCTGTCACCACTCTGGAACCAGGTATGACGAAAACCATTCTAATCTTCATTGTGATGTGTGTGTTACTTTGCTCTTGAGGTGCTTGCAGTCCGTCACACTGAACCTGAGCTCCAGGCCTGTCCTCTGGGGTTGAAAGTGACACAAAGTACTGGTGTGAAGGAGCCCAGTTAAAGCTGAATTGGAGCATAGCAGTTTGAGAGCATGGTGAGCCTTTTCAGCTTGTTCAAAGGACAATATGCACATGGCAGCTGGTGGCGGGCCTGCCTAGTTCAGGGGTCTTCATTCCCCCCAGGCTCACAGCAGCTTCTGGAATCTCAAAGCTACCTCAGGCTCTTCATTTATGACCTCCCTTTCCCTGCATTCTAGGTTTAAGCTGCATTCTAGGCTTAAATTAAGGAAATCTCTGGCTGCTACCTTATCCTTCTCTGTCTCCCAGATAAGTTAAAAATAATCAACCTTCTAGTCTATTTTTATTAGAAAGGCTTGTATGAGATTTCTGTTTTCTCCAGAAGAACTGAAATATTTATATTCTAAACCTAAGAAGAATACTAGGAGTCCTGAAGTGTTCTCCACATGATCTTTTCTTAGGGTCTAAGTTGACTACTCAGCCCCTGGCCCTGAGTGTATATTCTGAGCAGGTTCTCCACTTTTTTTTTTTTTTATTGGTAATGCCAATAAAAACTAGTTACAGAGTATAGTCAGCACATACCCTAGAGCAGTGGCTTTCAAATAATGGATCTTGAACTAATAGCTGCTAAATCCACTTGGTAGTTAACACAGAAAGTATAAAAACACATCATACATTACTAGGGTAAGTATAAGTAAGCATTTTTTTGTAAAATATCAATGACCATGTGTCCAAATGAGTGTATATAGATTTGAACATATGTATGTCCGCCTGCAGAATGTCCCATCTTTTCTGTGAAGTATCTAAGCAATAGAAGCAAGAGTGTGACGGGTATTTATCACATAGGACAGATTATGCAGAGGTGAGTTGGAAGGGTAGAGGATAAGCTAAACAGGTTGGGGTTTCACGTTTCTCAGCCCTTTGCTTTGGGATTTTACAAAGGTATTTTACATAGGATTTTATATGAAGAAATGTTTGAAAATCCGCTGGCCTAAAAAGGATGCCTGGAGAAAAGTGAGTCTTCCTAAAAACCGTTGGTACGCTCCCTCTGGCTCTCATTCGAAATCAACTTAAAATATGGGGAAAGGAAAAGCTGCACCGCACAAAGCACTAGCAAGAGGTAAGGGTGCAGCCCAAAATCAGTAATCCTTATCGTTACCAGTTTGCATTGTATTCTCTCCTGGCAAGTTTGAGAAGAAATCAAATTCTACACAAGGTTTTGAGACGGTGAGTATTACATGATGTTGGACAAGTTACCCTTACTGAGCCTTACTTTGCTCATCTGTAAAATGGGGTTAATGATGGTACCTACCTTCATAGGGCTGTTGATGATTAAAGGAGACTGCTGTGTGGAATATTTAGCACAGTATGGGGCACATATTTAAGAGTTAAATAATTGTCAGTTATAACTAAGCTGAACAATTTCCTGGGTCTCTTTAGAACTATTTTAAATCATTGAAAAGTGACTTGTAATAATGTAACATTTTGTTTTCTGGTCTTTTTAAGGTAAAAATATTTATATAGTGAAACCACACATTTTTTAAATGTTTATATAGTGAAACTATACAAGTGTGCCACTTGGCAAGGTTTTTTTTTTGTTTTGAGACAGTCTTGCTCTGTCACCCAAGCTGGAGTGTAGTGGCTCATTCTTGGCTCACTGTAACTTCCACCTCCCAGGTTTAAGCCATTCTCCTGCCTCAGACTCCCAAGTAGCTGGGATTACAAGTGCCTGCCACCATGCCCAACTAATTTTGTTTTTTTTTTTAGTAGGGATGGGGTTTCACCGTGTCGGCCAAGCTGGTCTCGAACTCCTAACCTCAGGTGGTCTGACCACCTAGGCCTCCCAAAGTGCTGAGGTTACAAGCGTGAGCCACACACCCGGCCAGGTAAGTTTTGACAAATGTATATACCTACCTCCCCCAAGTACCTATCAAGATTCAGAATGGGCCGGTCCCAGTCTCTAAAAATACAAAAATCAGCCAGGTATGGTGGCGTGCGCCTACAGTCCCAGCTACTAGGGAGGCTGAGACCAGAAAACTGCTTGAGCCCATGGGGTGGAGGCTGCAGTGAGCCAAGATCATGCCACTGCATCCTGCCTGGGCAACACAGCCACCTCCGTCTCAAAAAAAAAAAAAAAAAAAAAAAAAAAAAAAAAAAATTCAGAATGGACGACCCCAAGCACATCACCTATGAGTTAGTCTTGATCTGCAAGGAGCAGCAGAAATAAAGTCACCATCACTCTAGGTAGTTCCTTTGTCATCCCCACCCCATACTTCACACCCCAGAACAACCAGTTTTGTTTTTCACCATTAGTGTTTGCCTGTTTTTGGAATGCAACTTAAAAATAGAGTCATGGCCAGACTCAGTGGCTCACGCCTATGATCCCAGCACTTTGGGAGCCCAAGGTGGGTGGATCATGAGGTCAGGAATTCGAGACCAGCCTGGCCAACATGCTGAAACCCCGTCTCTACTGAAAATACAAAAATTGGTCGCCTGTAATCCCAGCTACTTGGGAAGGTTGAGACAGGAGAATTGTCCAAACCCAGGAGGCGGAGGTTACAGTGAGCCAAGATTGTGCCACTGCACTTTGCCTGGGCGACAGAGCAAGACTCCATCTCAAAAAAAAATGAGTCATTCAGTATTTAGTCCTCTGTATAAAGCTTCCACATATCATAGTATTTTTTAGAGCAATCCATGTTGCATGTAGTTGGTTGCTATTAGAACAGTATTCCACTGTGAGTACACAGCATTCCACCTTGGAATTATTATGAATAAAGTTGCTATCAACAAGTGTTTGTGTAAACAAAAACTGTCATTTCTCTTGAGTAAAAGCCTATAGGAGTGAAATTGCTGGGTGAAAGACCTTTTTTCCAAAATGGACTATTTTACACTCCCTACAAGAGCATATGACAGTTGTGGATGCTTTTTATTTCCCCATGAACATCTGGAGTTGTGTTTAATTTTACCCATTTTGATGGGTATACAGTGGTATTTCAGCATGGTTTCAATTTATATTTCCTTGATGATGTGAGCACTTTTTCATGTGCTTATTTGACTATTCATATATCATTTTTGGTGAAGTGTCCAATTTTTGCCTTCACCCCCCGGCCCCCACCGCCGGCTGAGCTGTTTGCTTTGTATATATTGTTGTTTGGGTTGTTAGTTTTCTTTTTTATTTTTGAGTTACAGGAGTTTTATCCAAAATATTTTGGATGCAAGTCATTTGTCAGATATGTTTTGTACTTTCTCCAAGTCTGTGGCTTGATATCCTTTTTCTTCATGTCTTAATGTTCTTCTCTATGTCCAAAGAAATATTGGACCGTGCCTGTGTCACAAATATAGTCTCACTTTGTACATAAAAACGTATGAGATAGATATAGATATATATATCATGTACAGCATGTTTTGAAATATGTATATATTAGCTATACATTAGCTATATAGCTATACGGAGCTAATTAGGCACTGACTCAACTTTTTGTGGTGAGAACACTTGAAATCTCCTGTTAGCAGTTTTCAGTAATACATTGTTATTAACTAGTCACCACGTTGTACATCTCCCAGCCCCCAGCCCCAGATTGTTTTTGCATACAGCTATCCAGTTTTTCCAGTACCATTGGGTGAAAAGACTTACTTTCCCATTTCATTGCTTTGGTACCTTTATCAAAAATCAAATGACTGTATAAGGTCTGTGTATGTACTCGCTTCTGTTTTATTGCTCTGTTTGTCTATCTTGATGCTAGTACCACATGACTGCTCTGATAGTAAGTCTTCCAATTTTGGTTGTTTTCCATGATTGTTTTCCATGTGCCTGGTCCTTTGTATTTCCATAACATTTTACAGCCATCTTGTCAAGTCAGTTTCTACCCCAGAATCTGCTGGGATTATGACAAGAATCCATAGATGAATTTAGGAAGAATTTTTATCTTAACAGTATTTAGTCTTACAATGCATGAACATTATACTATGTATTTCTATAATGACTTTCTGTTTCACTCAAGTGCTTTAGTCATTTTCAGAGTAGAGGTCTTAGGTGTAGTCTTAAATTCCTAAGTATTTCATATCAGTAGTAGTTGACACTTGTGATTTTTTTAATATTTCATTTTAAAAATTGTTTCTCGCTAGTATATAAAACAATTGATTTTTGTACACTGACATTGTTATCTTGTGACCTTGCCAAATCCACTGAGGATTTGGCCAGGTGCGGTGGCTCACACCTGTAACCCCAGCACTTTGGGAGGCCAAGGTAGGTGGATCACCTGAGGTCAGGAGTTAGGGACCAGCCTGGCCAACATGGTGAAACCCTGTCTCTATTAAAAATACAAAAATTAGCCAGGCGTGGTTGCAGGTGCTTGTAATCCCAGCTACTCAGGAAGTGAGGCAGGAGAATCCCTTGAACCCAGGAGGTGGAGGTTGCAGTGAGCTGAGATCACGCCATTGCACTCCAGCATGGGCAACAAGAGTGAAACTCCATCTCAAAAAAAAAAAAAAAAAAAAAGTAAACATCTTTGCCTTGGTCCTGATCTTAGGGGCAAAGTAATCAATATTTCCTAAATATGATACCTATTGCATTCTTTTTCTCATGGATTCCCTTCATCAGGTTCAAGATGTTCCCATCTATTCTTAATTTGCTGAGAATGTTTATGATGTTTTTGTTTTTAACTTTCTCAGTGGCTGAGAAGAGTAGTGCAGTTTTAGGTTGACAGCAAAATTGAGAGGAAATACACTTGCCATATACCAGCTACCCCAACACGTGCATAGCCTCCTGCCTCCCGATCACCTTCTCCCACAGGCATGGTACATTTATTACAACTGATGAATGTGTATGGACAGTTTTATCACCCAAAATCCATAATTTAGGCTTCAGTCATGTACCTTCTATGGCTTTGGACAGAGTCTCACTCTGTCGCCCAGGCTAGAG